GATAAATTTCACATGAGTCTTTGAATAATAGTAGAGGTAGTCCATTGTTTCTACTTTTCTTTCTAAGCACGTGAGACTGATAAGTATTTTGTGATGTGTTTAAGAGTTATGGCTTAAATAAACTAGCTGGGGGATAATCTGACATATACTCAGTATTTTTTTCTCTTTTTTTTTTACTGTTCATTAGATTAATATATATATTCTCTCTTTAAAGTAGGAAATTAAAGTTTTCATAGGAACCACTATGTATAATTGAAGTGTTTCTGAGGTATTTAAGCACAGCTCTGTGATTTAGTTAATATGTTTTGAAATATTTTCATGATATTGTATAGTTAGGAATAAAACCTGACAAAAAAAGGTCCAGTGAAATAAAGGGAGAAAACATCCATTAGAAGCTTTGAAAGCTCCAGCTGACAAAAGATTGAACAATAAAAAAGAAGTTTTCGGAACTAGTATGTCATTTTAATTTAGGGAATGAAAATGCAAAGTAAATACTTGGTTATTGTTGTTGTTAAATTAATGCATTTTTTTAAGTTTACATAAAGTCACTATTGAGAAATTATTACTGTGAATTGCAGCAATCAAATTAATATTACGTCTTCTTTCATACTACAAAAATACATCTACATTAGTCAGCGTTGATGTTCACTTGACACAGTAAGGAGATTGTCCTAACTCTTGTTTGCTGCAAATTCCTAAGCCCATTGCTCTGATATCACTGTCTCTTCATTCCACTTAATCATTATGCTATTCTTCTTGCTGCTTTTCCCTACAACTTCTTCAGCTTACTTTATCGGCTTCATCCAAATTTTTCTTCTACTTCCCCAAAATGCTGTTACTCTTTACTGTCTATAAATTCATGACCAGCACGCCCACATGTCATCTTTTTCCAGGTATCTCACTATTCTAAACTACATTTTCAACTTCATATTTAAAAATTCATCCATGTCAAATCAGGGTTTTGGTCTATTCATCTAGGCTTTATGTATTTCTTTAACCTCTCATAAAGCTTCTTTATGATCTTTCTTACAAATTTTGGACAGAACTTCAAGTAGTGATGGTTTTCTTCAGAGCCTATGTGTTAAAAGATCCTGAAATTTCAATTACATATGATTTAAATAATTATTTTTCTTCTAAGAAGAATTTTGCCTACAACTTTACAGTGCTACACTACACATTCTTTCCTATCTGAAACACTATCCCATCCTTACTTAAATTTTTCTTCATATTTGAGGTTCATAGATAATGCAGATTCCATAAAGGCTGTATTTTGAATCTTCCAGAACATCATAAGAGTGTTGCACAGAGAGAAATCCAGTTCTTTCTCCTAACTCTTTTTCTGGGTTTGTGTCCAATGGGATATCCACAGCAGCTTATTTTGCACCTTCTGTTTCCCTTGAATCCCCATGTTAGTTCTGTTATGTGTTACTCAGCAGACAGAAGATAATACAGTAAGGTGGTTGAGGTTTCAAACTTTCTGGTTTGGTTTCAAAGTAGGCCATTGTCAGAGGATGTTTCATTTAATACTTTTAATATATTCAAAGTCCCAGCATGGCCCTTGGTAGGCAAGCATCTACTACCCCAAAATCATAGCCCACTTTTGTGATGTTTTGACAATTGCAGTAGACAAGATCCATGTCAAATGAAAATCTTCCATGACTTTATGATTGACTTTTCAAATCAAAAGTTCTTGCTGAATATTGAAAGGAAATTGTATTGTTGCTGCAGTTACTCTGGAGAACACAACAGATCAGCTCTCAAGGCTGCCAGTACCTTTATCTCTCACAAGACTTAAATATCTTTAGAACACATTAAAAAGCATTAGAAATACTCTGCAGCTGTTATAATATAATGAGATGCTGTAATAGCAATCACAATGTTCGGTGAAATTATTTTACTGATTTTTTTTCTAAACCAGAGTAGGACAATACTTTAGATTGCAGCCACTTACTGACTTTCAAAGCTGATGTCAGGGACAAGTATGTGATATTTGTCAGCTTTGCTTTATACAGGCTTATGCAAATTATAACTTTTCTTCAGAAAAAAATCCAATCTGAATCTCCACTGAGACTTCTGAGTTTTACCATTTTCCAGTCAAAATATTATTTCTAGTATGATTTTGATACTAAATTAGACATTTATCAGAGGAAATTTGAAATACTTGGGAAACTTAAATGCCTTTTCTATAACATAACTCCAGCTTCAGGCATGTGGGGAGACTATAACCAAATGAGTTTGCTTTGTGTTTGGTCTGTTCTGCTACAAATGTTTGGATAGTTCTCATTGCAAGTATGCTGTGAACTATGGAGATTAAATTCATTTAGAGAGAAGGATTGTTTCTGTTACTGATAATGATTTACGAAAGGTGGTATATATGTTTAAATCCTGATGCATAATGGACAACAGAACCTACTTATTTAAATAGAAAGTATAGCCCAAGTGCAGGAATTAAATTCATAGTTATTAGAGCTACATAAAAAAAACCCAACAACATAGCATTCTGGAATCAAAAGACAGTTCTGTTCAAACAGGCTGTTTTTAAGGAGTGTAGGTTTTTTTCAGTGATTTTTTTTTTCATCAGATTATACCTATATAATTTTTTGAACCTTATTTCCATAAAGTCAAAGTTTTGGCATAGATCTATGGGGCTGAATAGGATAAAGGTTTGCTATATGTTTATACTACAATCCTAACAGTGTATTCATTGAACAGCAAAGAGTATGTTAAATTATTTATGACATTTTAATTGATCAAAGGAAAATATATTGATAGGTTTGAACATTTTTTTTTAAACACTGTTTTCTGTTTTCATGGGAACTTCCAAAGTCTGTAGTTTTCACTTGAGGCTGGAAAAAAGAGGAAAAAAAATCCATCGAAAGAAATCTCTATTTTCCATAATATTGTAAATTAAATTTTCACTAGAAATTAAACCTGACTCTCCAGTCAGTAATTAATATCTAGTGACATTGCCTTCAGATTCAGAACACATACTCTAACTGAAGCTGGTTATTTCTTCAACTGAAAGACCTGGGAGCTATATTTCATTTTTATGGTAATTTACTTTTATAAGTGATATCCTGGTTAAGGATCTATCTCTCACTACTGTGATAATGTATCTGTAAATACACTGGGAAAAATCTATTTTGTTATACCTATAGCACTCAGCAAACTGCTTTGTTTTATAGGTGAGAGTTGAATTTTTCACTGCCTGTTGAAATTAGTCTTTTTAAATATGAGAAAACCTCACTAAGACTCTGGAGAAATGATACAAAACATTTTTTTGCTTTGTTTTGCTGTTGTTCTACTTACAGAACTTCCCTGAAAAAAACACCTTGATATACCTCGATATCGATGATCCACCCAACAAACATTCAATGAAGTGTTGAGTGACTGTTCTTTTTCTAGACAGGTTACTGAGTGTGCATGATGAAGAAAGGTTGTATTCTCTCCGTCCCAACATCTATTGTCACTCTTCTTTCTTGTATGTCCACTTGCACTGTACTTACGGAGCTAATTTTCACAAATTCCAGGAAGAGAATTGGATTGATAAATCCACACAAAATAGCAGTATATTCTGCTTAGTACTGCAGCATAGAAGACTATTTTTTTCAGACAAGATCTAGCAGTTTTTTTCAAACAACATGGTTGACTTAAGCTGACTCTTCTCGTAATGCTTTTTTTTTAAAAAAAAGCAAGAAGGATATTTGAGTACATAGACCATAAGTTCACAAGAAGTATCTTTCAAGTTGCTTTTAGAGAAAAGAGTACTTTTAACACAAGCACCAAAAAAGTTGTTCTTTTTAAAAATGAATATCCTCTGCAGCTTCTGTTAAACCAACTTAACAAAGAAGATAACACCATGACTAAAATATTTATATTTCATCCTAGTCCCTTTGAATAATCAAAAAAAAAAAAGGTTCACTACTTTGTTCATCTTTCCTAATGATACAGAGAGGAAAGAAGTAACTAAACAATGAATACCAATGCAGAAACTCAGACTGTAAAATCAATATGTCAGCTCAGTAGAGCTGAGCTTCTTTCTAATGCTGCTGTTCCAGCAGTAGAGTTTACCTTCTGAATTATATATGTATTGACCTAATTACATAAATATTGACTTTGCTTTATATGAAGCCTTTTTCAGTCTCAGTGTAATTACAATGTCAATATTTGTTGTATGTAATAACACTGAATTTAGACTTGTTAATTTTGATTGATAGTGGCATGCCACAAGTTATTATATGGGATAAGACAGTTAGTGTAGAAGCACGCACAGCAGACACAAGCTGAAAATGCTACCAAATTTCAGTGTGTCTACAAGACCTTCTGTTTCCAATGTGTGACCAGGCAGAGGAAATATAATGGGTGATTACATCCTTGTTCCATACAAGGTACTGTTTTGAGTTGGAGAAATGTTTACCCTCGTCTAAAAAAAGTACAAATATTCAGCTGGGAACTCATTGAAAAAGTTCCTGTTTAAAGTTAGCTTTAAAATTTTGCCTTACAACGTTGTAAATTCTGTTTAAATTGTGCCAAAATGGAGGTTTTATGTAGCAACAACTGCATTTTTCTACATGCCTTCCATCAGGTATGCATTATTTTGGAATATTTTTGGGACCCAGGCACAAAAAGTTTCACATTAAATTATTTCTCTTTTTCTTCAAATCCAAGAAAGATGTGAGCAGTAAACTTTTAGATACTACTGGGACTTGCAAAACTGTTCACTTTGGTTTCCAAATGTTTGTTGAGATATATTTCTACAAGAACAATTTTCTTCATAGCTGGCAGACCTCTGAACTGCTTTCAACGATGAATAACCATATAGTGTAGTGCGTGTTTCTAGATGCAATTATAAAGGATTTAAATTTGGCAGTTGCATGGGAATTAGAAACCAAGCTGTGACAGTCTGTGTGCTGAGGATATTTAAATTTGTTCTAGCTATAATATGTTACCAGTAGTGACAAGGCATACATCATTCTGTATTTTTTTGTTTGTCTCAGCAGGGATGCCAGACAAGACGAACCTCAGTGACGTAAAGCAAATCCATCAAATCAACAATGGCAACACTTTAGACACAACTGGAACAGGATGTACAACAATGGCTAATTATATAACATTTATGCTGATTAGTTTGGTAATACTATTTCTCAGTCTTTGGTAACTGCTTAGCTCTAGCTTGATATACGTATCTCGTTGTCATCTGTTTATCCCCACTCACAAGTCTGGAACAAGGGATCTGGTGAATATAGCAATATTTATGATATGTTGTATAATATGAGCCTCTGATCTTAGGCCTAAATATTAACAAAAAGTTTTTTGTGTAGCAAATTTAACCTGTGGTTTTTTTAAACACCTGTAGAGTCACACAAAATCATGTTTTCTTTTATAATATTTTATGTTAAAATTGTCTATGATTGTCTGTGATAGGCTTTCTCTCAAAAGCAATTTGTGAAAAAGAGATCACAGTATCACTGAGTCATGGAAAGGGCCCCTGGAGATCACCTAGACCAACTCTATGCTCTGAGCAGACTCACTTGGAGCAAGTTGTCCAGGGCCAAGTCCAGTTGGTATTTGAATGTCTCCAAGGGTGGAGACTCTACAGAGTCCCTGGGCTAACTCTTCTGGGCTTTGAGCACTCCTAGTAGAAAATTTTTTTCTTACATTTAAATGTTGTCTATTATATTTCAGTTTGTACCCATTGTCCATTGTGCCCATTGTGTCCTGTCACTGGGCACCACTGAAAAGAGTTTGTTTCCATCTTCTTTACTCCCCTTATTTATTTACAGTATTTATATACTTTAATAAGATCCCTCCCTTCATCTTTTCTTCTCCATGCCAAACAGACTGCCTCTCCTTTTATAAGATTTGTTCCCATACCTTAAAAATCTTTATGGCCCTTTGCAGGACTCCATTCACCATGTCCATGTCTCTGGACATAGCACTGGAGATGTGGTCTCAAAAGCGTTGAACAGAGGGGGAGGATCACCTTCTTTGATATGCTGACAACATTTCTCCTAATTCAGCCTGGAGGTAGTTGGTTGTCTTTGCTGCCAGGGCACAGTGTGAGCTAATGTTCAACTACGTGTCCATTAGGAACTCAAGGTCTTTCTCTGCAAACTGCTTTCTACCTGGCATGCATCAGCCTGTACTGTTGCATGGGATTATTCCTCCTCAGGTAGAGACTCAGCATTTCCCTTTCCTGAACTTTTTGAGGTTCCTATCAAGCCATTTCTTGAGTCTGCAGGATCCCTCTGAATTAGTAATTCTTCTTCATAGTTCAGAAAAAACACATATTAGATACTATATATCTATATGAACATACACATATAAGTCCATTTTATCTCGGGATAACAGCAAGGTTAAGATTCAATGTTAAATTAAGGTATCTTTATATGTCTACATATAGATATTTACATACCTGCTCTGTATCTCTAAATTGTAACTGTAGTTATTGGATTCAATTGCTAAAATACCAACAATGAGTACCAATTGTGATGGTATAAAAAACCTACCTGGTGTCCACTACTGTTCTGAATGGTTTCAGCTCTTTGAGCAAGTGACCAGAGCCCTTTGTCAACACAGTCAGTGAAGCTCAGTACCTTATTCAGCTCCTGTGAAGACAGACATTTAAAAAGGCTACTCAATTGCCCAAAAATATATGACTGGTGCCACCTAAGATTTCTTGGAGTATCCAAAACATCCTCATGGGACTGGCATATACAGTGCATGATTTATTGGAAGTTCCTTAAATGGGAGCCTTGGGGAGTGGTAGCTGGCAGCTAAATGGGACATCCTTTGTTAACTCAAATAGATGTAGACATTCACATGTGGGTCCATGAATCATAGACCAAACCTCCATCAATGTTATTGGTAGCTTAGATACCTAGTTGCAGTGGTGACACATGAATGCAAATCTGAATCACAAGAATCCCAGCTCAAGTTCTTATACTTCATAAGATGAGGTAAGTTAATGTGTTCCACGGTATTAATAGCACATTATATAATGCTGTTATAAGATTTGATTATTCTGCCATGAGTAATTCCTGCATAATTTTAAGCAGGATATGTTTAAGAATATTTTGTAGTTATTTCTCCTTTACAGTCCTTTACAAGTGGAAAAAAATAAACTGTACAGGATTGTATGCATTCATACTGTACCTAGAACTCTTACTAGACTAAAAAAGTTACTCTTATATGAGACTAACATAAAGAAACATGTATAAATATTTTTACTGCCAAACATATGTTAGTCATTCATGTGCACAGAATAACATACAGGTAAACAGATAAAATTTAGAAAAGTAAGTGAACATTCCTGTGAGCAATTCCATGCCCAGATAAACACCTTTAATAGGCAGTGTCTACACTTTGTGTGCCAGTGTCTACACTTTGCTTGACCCTTTTTTTCTTTTACAGGTTTTGTAAATCAATCTTTCAAACTTGCTAGTCTTTTTCCCTCAGCATACATGAAATTATGACATTGGTAATTCAGGCAAATAAAATGTGATTTCTTTCTTTTCCTTTTTATGTCACCTCATACTGGTAATCAATCTAGTTCAGCAACTTTTTTTTGAACGATGATCCGTAGCAGTCCTCTGTCCTTCATGTTGCAGAGAATGATGAGGGAAGAATCAGTAAGCCAGCATATAAAATAGAACTCATTAGGGATAAGCCTGGGGGTGGCTCATTAATGTTTAAGAAACATTAATGCGCTAGAGAGATCCTTCGGACTGCCATCTCAGCAATGGTAGGGGATAGAGATCCATGCAGCAGCAAAGACACAAGGGTTATTGGTGTGTTAGAAACCATATAAGTGTGTGAGAATGATCATGTAGAAATTAGAGTTTCTCCCCCCAAAAAGCAGCAGGATCAATAGCCCAACTGAAGTGCATCACACCAATGCACACAGCATGGGCAACAAAGAGGAGTAGTTGGAAGCCATTGTGCAGCAGGAAAATTATGGCATAGCTGCCATCACGGAAACATGGTGGGAGGTCTCACAGAACTGCAGTGCTGTGATGGATGGCTATAAACTCTTCAGAAGGGATAGGCAAGGAAGGACAGGCAGTGGGGTAATCCTGTATATTAAGAAGTGTTTTGATTCTCTAGAGCTTGAAAACAGTGTAAACAGGGTTGAGTGTGGGTAAAAATCAGGGGGAAATTCAACAGGGCAGATTTCCTGGTGGGAGTCTATTACAGACCACCCAACCAAGATGAAGAGGCAAACAAAATATTCTATCAGCAGCAGGGAGAAGTCTCACAATCACTACCACTTGTTCTTGTGGGGGACTTCCAACTTTCCAAATGTCTGCTGGAAATAAAACACAGCAGGATATTCCTGAAGTGTGCGGAAGTGAACTATCTGTCACAGCTGGTGAGCGAGCCAAACAGGGAAGACATCCTGCTGGACCTGTTGTTTGTGAACAGAGAAGGATTGGTGGGTGATGTAGTGTTTGGAGACCATCTTGGGCAAAGTGATCACAAAATGAGTTTTCTGATCTTGGAGAAGTAAGGAAGGTGGGGGGGGGGTCATTAGAACTGCTGTCTTGAACTTCTGCAGGGCAAGCTTTGGCCTTTTTAGGAGGTTGGTTGAGAGAGTCCCTTGGAAGGCAGTCCTGAAAGACAAAGGAGTCCAGGAAAGCTGTGCATACTTCAAGAAGGAAAACTTAAAGGCGCGGGAGCAGTCATCCCCACATGCTGAAAGGTGAGTCAGTGGGGAATAAGACTTTACTAAAGTGAGTTTGTTGAGTAAAGCAGCTTAACTAAGACAGCTTCTGCTGCTTAGTATTATAAAAGTTTAATATCTAGTTAAAAGATTTTCTTCAGTGATACCTTTGTCTTACTTAAGATATTGATGTCTATGGATTTTTGGATTATAGCTTTCTGTAGATTTTAGAAGTAGCTATATTATATCCCCTACCCTGTAGCACAGTAGTTTACACATTTACCCAACACTGTTACCCCATTCCATATCACTCCCTCAAAATTCCGTTAACTTGTTTAGACATCCCTCAAGGTAGGCCTTCATTCTGTTTAAGAACTCTGCACCCTGGCTTGAACAACAAGATATCACACAGGCAAAGTGAATTTCAAACCCAGGACTTTGCGGAAACTCCAAGGACTGAATGCGCTGTGAGGAAGAGGAAGATGGGGAAGAGGGTGTCCCAGAGCCCCCTGCCTCAATTTCCAGAGGGGCGTGCTGGGGCAAGGACCTAGGGGTGGATAGATCTGGGATTGGTTAGAATAATACCTTAAATTGTGGAACCCCATGGACACGAGAGACACGTCGTGTATTCCTGTAGGCCTCAGGCCTCAAATTAAAGGACCTACTCTCTTTATCTTATCTTATATACTAAATTGGCTTGGAGTCCTGTTTTCTGCAGTCTCTTAAGTCAACAATATGAATGTCTAAAGTTAAGATTGTGTCAACATTCACATAGGTCATTTTATTATCAAGAAATTCTCCAGAAACTTAGAATATTTACAGGAAACTGGCATACAGAAGCTGCCAGATGATGCCAAGTTGGACAGGAGTGTTGATCTGCTGGAGGGTAGCAAGGCTCTCCAGAAGGATCGGGACAGGCTGGATCAATGGGCCCAGGCCAATGGTATGAGGTTCAACGAGGCCAAGTGCCGAGGCCTGCACTTGAGTCACAATAGTCCCATGCAGCTCTACAGGCTGGGGAAAGAGGGGCTGGAAAGCTGCCCAGTGGAAGAGGCACTAGGGGTGTCTTGTCGTGAGGGGTGTCACTGTCATGAGCCAGCAGTGTGCCCAGGTGGTCAAGAAGGCCAATGGCATCCTGGATTATATTAGAAATAGTCTGGCCTGCAGGACGAGGGAAGTGATCACCCCCCCCATACTCAGCCCATGAAGCTGCATCTTTGGGCTCTTCACTACAAGAAAGACATTGAGGTGCTTGAGTGAGTCCAGAGAAGGGCAATGAAGCTCGTGAAGGATCTAGGGAGTAAGTCCTATGAAGAGTGGCTGAGGGAGCTGGGGCTGGTTTTCCTCCTTCTGGAGGAAAGCAGGCTTAGGAATGACCTTATCACTCTCTACAACTACCTGAAAGGAGGTTGTAGCAGGTGGGGATCAGCCTTTCCTCCACAGCAACTAGAGACAGGATCA